AAAAAAAAAATCGTCGTATAAAAATGGATAGAAATACGTATAAAAATTTTATGGAATGATTTTTTCTTTTTTAATCGTTATTTATAGAGACTTCGATGCGAATACATTCTTTTTGAGTAAAATTGTCCGCTATATCCGGATCAAGCTTACACAAGCGCTATTATCCACGTAACTATTGAAATTTCAAATAAATTTTTCGTATGGAAATATCGTCCCAGATTTACGTACACCATATTTAACAATAGGGATACGTTCGAATAATAAAAAAAAAAAAAAAAAAAAAAAAAATAGAAATTTAAAAAATTTGTTCTTTCTCCCCCTAGATTTACTATCTCGTGTATCGCGAACGAAATCACGCGTTTCGAGCGATCCGTCTCGAGCAATCCTCCCATAATGGTCGGAGGGTAAACTGACGACAGTGGAGAGGGGAGGTGTTATCAATGGAACAATGGTGGGGAAAAACGGTTGAGTGATCATTGGGCATCAGTCAGAAACGATTCCGCCGCGGAGTTTCTCTTAGTTAGTCGGCGGACAAGCCAGACAAATGGCGGCTCACCCCTTTCACGCTGAGAGGGAGAGGCGAAAACGTGACGTGTAGTAAGCGGCGCGAGTAAGAACGAGCGAAGCCAGCCAAGTATAATTTGCCTGCGAATCCATTTCGAGGGCGAAAACTCTAGCGAATCGCCCTCGAATTCTACTCTTTAATAGCAAAGAAGTGAATTAAAGACGCGACGAAAGAAATCTTGTGAGAAAAGAATAAGAATAATAATTGATATATACAGATTTTTCTGTTTTCCTGATTTTATTGTAAATTTGTTTTTGTCATCATATTACTTTTCCTAATATATATATAGGTTTATAGTTAGAGCTTCATATTAAAAATCATAGAGCTATTTCGAGAGAGAAAATTCTAGCGAATCGGCCTCGAATTGTACTCTTTACGAAAGAAATGAATTAAAGACGCGATGAAAAAAATCTTGTGAGAAAAGAATAAGAATAATAATTGATATATACAAATTTTTCTGTTTTCCTGATTTTATTGTAAATTTGTTTTTGTCATCATATTACTTTTCCTAATATATATATATAGGTTTATAGTTAGAGTTTCAAAGATATTAAAAATCATAGAATTATTTCGAGAGAGAAAACTCTAGCGAATCGGCCTCGAATTCTACTCTTTAATAGCAAAGAAGTGAATTAAAGACGCGACGAAAGAAATCTTGTGAGAAAAGATAAGAATAATAATTGATATATCCAAATTTTTCTGTTTTCCTGATTTTATTGTAAATTTGTTTTTTTTGTTTTAGAGCTTCATATTAAAAAATCATAGAGCTATTTCGAGAGAGAAAATTCTAGCGAATTGGCCTCGAATTGTGCTCTACACAATAGCAAAGAATAGCAAAGAATTAAAGACGCAACAAAAGAAATCTTGTGAGAAAAGAATAAGAATAATAATTGACGCGATATATTCAAATTTTTCTACTTTCTTAATTTGATTGTAAATTTATTCTTTTGATCATATGACTTAGAATATTATACACAATTTTATAGTTAGAGCTTCAAAGATATTAAAAATCATAAAGCGTGCTATTTCGAGGGAGAAAACTCTAGTGAATCGGCCTCGAATTGTACTCTTTATGAATAGCAAAGAATTAAAGACTCGACGAAAGAAATCTTGTGAGAAAAGAATAAGAATAATAATTGATATATCCAAATTTTTCTGTTTCCCTAATTTGATTCTAAATTTGTGATCATATTATTTTTCCTGATATACGTACACAATTTAGAGCTTCAAAGATATTGAAAATCATAGAGCGTGGTATCGTTTCGCTATGTAGAAAATTATACCGGTAATCGAGAAAATTATAAATAGTCTCTCGAATGGAACTCAATTTCGATCCTTGACTCGTGCTCAATTGAAAACTGTTTCGAGACAGAGATGTCACTCCCGGTTACGTGAGGCCGGTTTAAACTTGTTTTTCGCGTTTCGCCCCGGAGTTTCGCGCCTCGTGCCTCGTGCCGATAACGCGGGTGAAAACAGCCGTCGAATAATCGAATCGATAACGATCGCCGTGCGAAACGACCACTTGAAACCCACGGAATTACAATTTCGTAACCCTCGAAACACGAGTGGAAACACGGCTACCTTTCACACGTTTCCCGGTTTTCGGTCGTGGCGGAGGCAGCCACGAGTTGTGCCGCTCGAGGCCTCGATAGACCGAAAACGGGTCACTGTTTTTTTTTCTTTTTTTTTTTTTTTTTTTTTTTTTTTTTT